ATGACCAGGGCAGTAGGGGAGTACAAGGGACCCACAGGGAACTCAGACCACTGCCATTTACCAACCAGTAAGAAAATATTTTAATTTTCATAACCAGTATGGCTACATCTTGGAAGTTACACAGTAAATCAGGGATAGTTAGGACTCAAACTTAGATCTTCATTTCCTGGGAAAAAATATAAAACTCTTATAATACTTACTAGCAGTTATGTTACTATCTTTAACAATGATCTCAACATGTCAGAAAATAAATGATCTTCCTTGAATCTCTAGCTTTATCAACAATTCATGTCAATGAAAAAGTAGGCATTGCATAACCTATTATAGAATGCAGTGATGTACTTACTTTTACATTTATGTATTTTCATGGATTCTAAAACGAGAGGTGCTAAAGACACCTAGTTATTTTTTTTAAATATTTGCAAATTCTATTCATGGAAATAGACCATCCTGTTAGATATCCTTCTTTTTTAGTCAATTTTCACAAAATCTAGAATCACTGCACATAGTTACTAAGAGCATGATGAGGCTGCAAGAATCTAATCATCAGAGAATACTTTTTGGGAAAACCATGTATCTGTTTATCATTTTCTAGTTTGTCAATGAGCATTTTCTAAAAGAAATTCTGACATGCATGATTAGTTACAATAGTTCTTTTGCTCTCCCTCTGGAATGATAAAGCATAATTACTGGCTTATATAACATGGTACCTCACTTGTAAATTTAAGAAAGAAGCTCCTTGTGTTGACAGTTCTTTTTTTTTTTTAAAGATTTATTTATTTATTCATGAGAGATAGAGACAGAGAGAGAGAGAGAGAGAGAGAGAGAGAGAGAGAGAGAGGCAGAGGGAGAAGCAGGCTCCCAAGGAGCAGGGAGCCTGATGCGGGACTCGATCCCAGGACCCTGGGATCATGACCTGAGCCGAAGGCAGACACTTAACCATCTGAGCCACCCAGGCGCCCTGTGTTGACAGTTCTAATGTCTGCCATCTGTTTGCAGGGGATGAAGCCCTGGTGCTCCCCTAATTGGCCATAAATTAGGTTCCAGCAGCAGGCTCTTGACAGGAGCCTTAGTTACAGTGGTTGTTGGTGTTGGTTGCTTTGTTTTGTTTTGTTTTGTTTTTTAAGGTGTGTGAGTTCAACATTTGGTGGGAAGACCTGCTTCTCCTCTAAGATACAGAAATGCACATTCTCACTTCTACAGAAATGCACATTCTGACTTCTGCAGACAGGCCATGTTCTCTATACTTCTCCCCTCTCCAGGGGTTCGCTCTGTATATATTCCGAAGGACAAACTTCTGCCAAATAGAAAAACTGCTAAATCAGAGGGGTTCCTGTGCCTTCTGCAAGAAGAGGAGAGCACATTCGTTGAACGCTTACTACACATCCTGTGATGTGCACGGACCTTCACATATAATAAACTGTTTGATCTTCAAAACAACCTTAACTTTACGTAATCCCATTTTGCAGATAGGGAAACTGAGACTTAGAATTTATGTAACTGTCCATAATCTCAAAACATCGTGTAGTCAGGATTCAACTATTGGGTTTTATTTGACAAAGCCCATGCATCACCCAGAGCACACTATATATATGATTAGGTTTGAAAAAAAAGAGAAAATTGGATGAGGGCAAAAGTGTGTATACGATGCTACGTGGCATTCCCTCACTCCTCAGGACCGCCCTTACCTCAGTTGAAGAAGCAGGACCAGACTGCCCACAAAATCCCACCTAGTTTGTTTCTCTGATTAATCTGGGCTTACTGTTTACCAGGAAATCTTATCAAGTTATTCAACTTCCATGGGCTTCCACTTCCTCTTCTATTGAACATCCTGTCTACTTTCCAGCTGGGATCCCATGCATGTGGAAATTCATAAATTATTAAAGGACTGTAGGGATATAGACCAATATGATTACCTGTCCACCCCAGTCACCTGGCACATCCACAGCCTCAGAAAATCGAGTCAGATTTTCTCGCTTTAGACTTTATTTTTTTAAGATTCTATTTATTTATTTATTTGACAGGGAGAGACACAGCGAGAGAGGGAACACAAGCAGGGGGAGTGGGAGAGGGAGAAGCAGGCTCCCCACTGAGCAGGGACCCCGATGCGGGGCTCAATCCCAGGACCCTGAGATCATGACCTGAGCCGAAGGCAGATGCTTAACGACTGAGCCACCCAGGCGTCCCTATTATTTTTCTTTTTAAAAGATTTTACTTCGAAGTCATCTCTACACCCAATGTGGGGCTCAAACTCATGGCTCCAAGATCAAGAGTCACATGCTCTACTGACTGAGCCAGCCAGGCGCCCCTCTTGCTTTATACTTTAGAGGCAAGGTCAAGACCATCTGAGTTCCTGTAACTTTCCTGATCTACATCTCTACAAATTTTCTACCTCTCCTTTTAGAAATAGAAAAAAAAAAAAAAAGAAAGAAACCTATGTTCTCCAAGTATTCTTTTCTTGTTTGCTCACCATCTCTTCCTCTGTGGCCCCATTTCCATCAAATATTCCCTCTAGGATTTCGTTTGCTCCATCTTCATGGATGTGTGTGCGTGCTCATCACGCGGACACTCTCCAGGAGCCCACCAATGCCTCATGCTGCACCTCCCTTCGTCCCTCCTTCCCTCCTTAGCTTCTACCAAGTTCCTGAAGGAAAGAGCCCTTAGTCTGGGTGATCTCACTTCCCCAGGTCCTACTCACTCCCTGCAGGCTGGACACCATTCTCACCACCTGACCGAAACTTTTTTCCTCTATCTGTATACCTCTTGGCTTCCACCTGCGCAGAATGCAGCTGACTGTCCTTCCTCTCGTGAATCTTCTCTTGGCTTGTGAGGTTTCCAGCATGGCTCTGATAGCCAACGCTTTGGCATTATTTACTGTTTTTTTTTTTTTTTTTTCATCCTCCTGCCTCATTCTTAAATGTAAGAATTTTCCCAACTTCTAAACTTGGTCCTTTTATCTTCTTCTCTCTTCTTTCATGCAATTCCATCCAATGCCGTGGCTTCAGCTGTTAACTTTACATGAGCAAATTTTAAGTGAATTTTAAGTTGACTCTAACAAGAGCTCTTGTCTTACTTTTTCTATCTCCTGCTGGGCATCTGTTCCTGAGCGTCCATCTTGTACGTCACATTCATTATATTTGTAATGGAATACCATGGTGCCTCCCAAATGGATTCCTCTATACTCCCTCCAGATGTTCTCGATCCTGAGTACACCCCTAATTCCTTCTATGCCTTTTACATTCAGTCAAGAAGTAAGCCCTTTGGTTTCACCTCTTCATTCTAATGCAGTCCCCTTGTAACAGGTCTCATGATCACCGCTTGGATGTACAGATGCTAAGCAGATATTCTGCCTCTTATTCATCTTACTCAGTATTCTCAGATTAGTCTAGCAATACAGTGATAGAGTGGCACTATTTTGTTGCATAAAACTCTCAGTTACCCTCATCCCAACATTGAGTGAACCAGCCCCGACGTGTCTGTGAACTCACCTGCCCCAGCACCTCTGCCAACCACCCTGACCCAACCTCCCCCCTCCCCCGGCCAGCTGCAATGGTTGTTCCCTTAGGAGAACTGTTGTCCTGTTCAAACTATTTCTATTGCCTGTACTTCCAGATCCACCCAATCATGCCCTGTCCTTCACAAAGACTTCCCTGATTCTCCTTAGTAGTCGTCACTCCCTTCGTGGGAGTCCCCTAAGTGTGTGCTCTGGACCCTTCCCACTTTCTGCCTTGTGCATAGGTCACAGATTCTCTCGTAGAAGCAAACCCCCAAAACCAGCATCTGTGCTGCTCCTCGGATTCTTCTCATGGCACCAAACCCAAAGACTTGCACGTGGTAGATCCTCAGTAAGATGTTAGGCAAATGAAGGAAACAACTGGGTAATGGTTGTTTGTTGGAACCAGATAAAGAATATCTGTGTTAGAGACATTCACGGACACCCCGTTCTGCGGTTATGCCACTGATCTTGTTCTAGGGGCCTCCAGAATTGAGATCGGTATATGAGGTGGGATCCCTCTCTACCTAGAGCTTGCTGAGCCCCACATGCACCTCCATCATTCTGGACTGCTCACATCCGGCCCCCAGGGGCAGGCTATCCCCACACCCACAGCCTATCCAGATCTATTGGCTTCACGAAACGGGTGTTTGCAGTTCTTTCTCTTGAGTCAGCCACTTGGCTTTTCTGATACACTTCTCCACACACAGCAATGAGGAAGAGTCTGGAGGACTGCTTCCAGATCGCGCACACACATTTTACCCAGGCCCTTGGAGCGTCAGTAATCGGGGACTTGCAGTTTAACTGATAAAGCACGCAGGCAATGAGACTAGCAAAGACAGATGGAGAGAACGAACAGGGATGGACATCATCAAACACACTGGTCATGGCCCTAAATATACGCCTATGTCTGAAATGTTTTCTCCCAAAGCATCTTCCTTCAATGCTTCCCTTATAGGAATCTGAGGATGGGAGAATCGAGAGAACTAGAACATGCTGAAGGAATGATCCATTTCTTAGTAGTAATAATAATACTGACATTATTATATATTCTATAGCAGTAATAATAATTATTACTCTAAAAATTTACCCAAATAGCTAGCATTGTTAAGATACCGCCCAGTAAAAACAAAAGAAGAAGAAAAACCAAAACCAAAACCAAAACCAACAACAAAACACAAAAAACCACTGGGATCCATGATTTCCTTGTGTCTCGTGAATCCTGACAACATTTCTGTGACATTGCATGATGGCCCGTGCCTGTCAACAAGCTAACTGCAGTGGGGCTCACACTGGTTAAGCACCCTGTGGAAACTCTCAAGGCCAGAATGGCAGAGCCAGCCACTTCCAAGAATGATAGGGAATGAGAATCAAATATACAGCCCATTTTAAAATGAAAGAATATCAAACAAGTGTTAATAACTCCATAAAACAACATCTAATTCCAAGAATTTATGCACGGCATGGATCGGAGCGCGCAGTACGCAGAATAACGCAGTGTACTCACTCTCTGTCGATGACGAGGCAGGTCACAGCCTCTGCGGCAATCACGTTTGCTGTCCTCACATCCTCCCTATATAAAAAAAAGAGGGAGATGTTGAAGTAAAATAACCTTTACCATCAAAGAAAAGTGATCATTGCGATCAATTTCAGGAAACACAGTGAATTAGGTATACCCCTCGATTTATCCATCCCCAGGGTTATGATTCGCTCATGTCTCAAATTTCTTTGTCCTGTGGAACCACCTTACTCTTGCCATGAATCCCTGAAATCCTACAGTTAGAATCCAGAAGTTAGAATTTTCGATCTTAAAGTATCATTTATACAAGGAAACAAAATTTTATATCCTCATTCCCTGTGCTCTTTTTGGGAATTCAGGAGTTAACTGGATAATGATGAGGACGGTAATGACGTAATGAGAGTTTTTAAAGGACCCGAAGATATATTTCTGAGGACTGAGTAATCCATTTGTGTATGAATTTATTCTTATAACCTTGAGAACAATGGATCTGTTTTAATTATCACCTTAGAGACCCTGTTTTAATGTGGCTAACGTTCTGGCAACTTCTAACACACAGTTATTCATCTATACCAGAGTTCTCGGTTCTTCAAGAGTATCTGACAAATCTTAATGGCTCTGATTGGAATATGTATATACTGTTTGGAAATATCCGATTTGTCACTGTAGGCATATCTAGGGATTTCTTAAACCTTTAAAAATGTGTCCTTATATTTCTCGTCTTACCCAGAGGTCAAAGACAGCCTTTGTAAATTAACATTCACATTTCATTCTGAGCTACTAAAAATGTCATAGTATCACTGCATAGAAACAGTAAGTTATATATGAAAACGTACTCCTTTTCCTAGAAAAGTAAAATTTCAAAGTTAATATAATGATAAATATAAGTTTGAAATACATTACAGAGAAATATACAGAAATAATATACTGTTAATAATACATTATACAAATCATAATCCAATTATCAGAGGTCTCTAATAGTAGGCTGTTAAAGTCTTGAAAATAAAGATGTACCCACTGAATTTTTATTTTTTCAAAATACACTACATTCTCACATATATTCTGAACCCAGTACTTTTTCTACTGATATGTCTTTCACTGTGGCTACACCATGATATTGCAATTACAGTTGTGGGGCGCCTGGCTGGCTCAGTTGGTAGAGCATGCGACTCTTGATCTTGAGGTCATGAGTTCAAGCCCCACACTGGGTGTAGAGACGATTTAAATAAAAACTTTAAAAAATTAAAGAAATAAAATTACAGTTGTTTTATAGTAACCATTAGTATTGAATATTTGGTAAACAAGTGCCCCCTTACTAAAATTATTTTTCAGAAATAGCTTGATGACGTTGTTAAGCATTCATATCTCACAGAGACTTTAAAATCACGTTTCCACTTCCAAGGAACCCACACTGGGATTCTGGTAGAGGTGTGTTACATTTATACACTGATTTCAGAAGAAGGACTTTTTGATTATATTGATTTTCTGTACAATCACATCACATGGCCCTCCATTTGTTCGCAGCTAATTTTAGGTTAAGTGAAATTTCTTAATCTTTTTCACTAGGCCTTTTTTTTTTTTTTTTTTAAGAATTATATCGTCACTTTCTCTTATGAAAGCAGTCTTTCCACTTCTGTTTCTCACAGGTTACTGCTATTAAAGGAGAGAAGCTATGAATGAGTGCATATCTTTAATCCACATGTCATACTAAGCTCGCTTCTGAGTCTACAACTTTCCTTCCAGTCTCCTCGCCCCCCCGCAGGATTCTGTCAGTGCCTCCCTCACACCCCCACCTTCCAGCCAAACTGGCCACCTCTGTTCTCTGCTGAATATATCAGCCACCCCCACACCCCACCTACAGGCCCCTTCCCCAATTCATTAGAATTAACTAGACCAGGTTCTCCGCCCATCTGTTCTCACGGCCTGATGTACCTCTCGACCCAAGTACCTATGGTGGTTTGTCATCTATACGTTTATTTGTGGGGTCACTTGGTTGGAGATTCTATCTCCCTCCCACTAAAGCACAGGAGGGCAGGTTCCCTGGCTAGTTTTACCCCCCATCTTACCCCGAATGCAGGGGCATGCAGGAGGTGCCTACTAAGAGTGTGGTACAAGAATGGCAAAAGCACCACAGCCTTGAGTCCGTGCGTCGGACAAGCAGAGAGCAGGCTTTGCACTCACACTGTCTTGGTTTTATGAAGCAAGCTACAAGCTATATGAAAGCCTTGAAAGTGGGAATGATAAGAGCGCGCACTCCCTGAAGGGTATTAAATGTGACAGAGTTAAAGTTTATCATAACGCCCAGCTCATGGAGAGAAGCGCATTCTTCTGTGGATTCTGGCTCTTTCATCTTCTGTGTGGCCATGCTGTCTAGCGGTTTACGAAACGCTCCCACCCAACAGAATGCAGATACTCTTTCTGCTCCAAGGGCGCAGACGATATATTTTCAACTCCATGATCACACTTTCTGAGCAGGAATTTTTAGTGAAGGGGACACAACAATGGGCAGAAAACATGAGTGACGCCCAGTAGGTCTTTCATAAACCGTATGACTCCTCTCCTCTCCTTTCCTTTCTTTCTTTTCTTTTCATTCCTTCTCTCTGTCTTTCTCTCTCTCTCTCTTTCTTTGGTTTTATTTATTTATTTGGCAGAGAGAGAGAGAAAGTGCAGGAGCAGGGGGGAGCTGCAGAGGGAGAAGTAGACTCTCCGCTGAGCAGGGAGCCTGATGTAGGGCTTGATCCCAGGACCCTGAGATCATGACCTGAGCTGAAGGCAAGATACCCAACCAACTGAGCCACCCAGGCGCCCCAAGAATGACTTATTTCTTAGGAGGTTGCTCATGGTAGTACGTTACTACACCTTGCTGCTAGTCTAAAAAACAAAAAGAACACCTATCACAGCTTTACAGAAAACATATTAAATCTGAATTTTCCTAAAATAAATTACCATCTTGACAATTTAGTCAAGTCTTTAAAAATATAATATATACAAAATAATGCTTTGTTCTGAATATATTCTCTGGGCATATTCATCTTTTAATTATTTCATCACAAATTTGCAATATTTTAAAATTTTATTAGATCATCTGGCCTAAATTGGATCTACTTTTTCAAGTGAATGCAACTTTCTTGCAACAAAAAGAAAACACATAAATGTTTTAAAATAGAGGTGGGGAAAAATAAAATATCAGAAGAGTCACAAAGTCAAGAGAAATTAGAACTATTTTATTTTAAAAAGGAAAATCTGTAAGTTATGGTCTACAGTCAGGCATAGTACCTAGTAAAGTAATATATGTCAAAACAGAGAAGAAGCATAACATGGGGAAAAGCAATATATTAATCATTAGATTATAATATTTGCCATTTACTCAGTACCTAGTATATATCAGGAACTGTATTAGGTGATTCGAACAAATCTCACTTAATGCAGATAGCAGAGGGTGGGTATTTAATCTCAGATTTACACAGGAGGATAAAGTTTAAGTAGCGCACCCGGAGTCAACCATAGCTGGTGAGTTGCTGCTTTGGAATTTGAACACAGATCTGGCTGGCTCCAGGGCTCATGTCTTTCCACAAAATACCACTCCTTATACACTCTGCTACCAGACTGCAATCCGACAGCAATTCTAAATGCATTCTAATGCAAAATGACTTCAGTGCAGTAAGTCATAATGTCTGTCACCATAAAAAATATATTTAGTTGTTAATAAAAACAGCATTCATATGTTTCTGGCCGCTCAAGGGCAAAGCTAAATCAATAAATCATTTTGATTCTAATAGGGTTTGAATTCCTATCTGTGGCTATGTCCTAGCCCTGTGATGTTGCTTTATAATAATGTTACAATAGGAAATAACTAAATGCCAAGTTCATTCCATGCCAAATTCATGTTGCCACTACGCTGTCTTTGTATCTCTGCTCCTAAAGTGTTTCATGCCATTATGTCTGTCTGTGCAGGTATCTAGAAATGCTGTCCCTGTGGACTCAGACAGCCTGCTCCCGTGAGAGACAGAATGCTATCTGATCTAGTATTGACGTGTGCTAACCCCTTATTTTAGGAGAGACAGTAGAAACTTCTAGCGAGACAGTATTACTCATAGAAGCTGACAATACTGTGACTTACTGTGTCTGCTTATTTCCTTCATGTGTCCGAGGAAATATGAGATTGAGATAGAAAACATTACATACTCGTCTAATACAGAGGTCCTAAGAGCTCCATGTGGTTATTAAACTTCTCTCTATCCATACACAGCTGCTAGGATCCTGGTTTCACACAGAACATCTGCCCAGTTAGCAGGGGCTTCGTGTAATACTGGCTCAGAAGAGAGAAAGAGGAAGGAGGCAGATTCTGTTATTTATAAAAACAGCTTTCTTTGAGTTTTACTTTTTGACAGATCACGGTATACGATCATTTCTAGGCAGAAGACTACAGGAGATTTTGGAAGTCCCATTGACGTTGACCACAAGATAATTTCATAACTAGAATTATACGATAATGTACAATATACTTAATTAAAAACATCCACCAAACACGTACTGCCTCTCAACACTCAACACACTTCTTTATAGTAAGTCATGTACCTGTATCCACACAAGAGTCTGGGTCTAACGTGCACATTGTCTCTAAAAACCAAACCTCCTACTCATCCATTGCTATACCTGTGGGTTAGTTGATTGCAGCCTGACAATTAACAAACACGGGCTATGGTGCAGGTAGCTACTGTAGCAACCCCCAGGTGCTGTTGGTTAATGAGTAATCACAGGCAAAGCTATGCAGTTTAGTAGGGCTCTCTTTGTAAGCCTTTCTGGAGGAGTTAGAAATTCCTTTCAATGAAATCATAGCGCATGAAAAGCACCCCAAGTATCTGCAAACACCGTTTTCTGCACACTGACTCTGAGACGCTGCGAACTTCATCACTGGAATCTTCATCATCACTGTATCCCACCGTGGCATCACTATCAGAGTCTGAATAATCCATAGCAAGGGTTTACATGGGCTCTTCTCGTTCCGAAGCAATTTTCTTATGCCTCCTGGCTGCGAGGGAACTCTGGAGCAC